AAAGGAGAATCTTATGTAAGTATCATAATGCAGGCCTGTAATCTCTACACTTCAAAGACTGAGGATGGAGGACCAAGTGTTCAAGACCAACCTCGAGTCTATGAGTCAGTTTGTCTGTCTCTCTCTTTCTCTCCCCCATTTCTCCTTCCCTCCACCCCCTCTCATACAGAACACACACACACACACACACACACACACACACACACACACACACATGCAAAGACATATAAAGGGAATCTTTAAAAATTATAAGAAATAGGAGAAAGAACAGCAGAAAAGTAATTTGATAACAAACAAGGCAAATCCTCTTGAGCTAAATCAATCATCTTTTCCACTGCACTTCTGTAAGAATTTGAACCCATTCCCAAGAATTTGGCAGATCCCATAACCTCTTCTGACTCAGGAAAATATGATCCTTACAAATGAATACCACGTGACGGCACCACTTCCCTCCTTCCAACAACTGTGGGTGTCTTTCAAACAGATTTTTTAAAGATAGCTATATACAAAATTTGATTTAGAGCACCCCAAGCGAATCACTTGCCTCAGGCCTTCACAGGGAAGTGTTTAAGTCATCATTTTCTCATTGCTTTACAGGAAGACAAGAAGCAGGTCTAGAAGCGCTGGCGATTTCCCTAGATTTCTCTCTAACTGTCCTGCCTTATTTGTGCTTTAATATTATCATCAAGGCTCCCAGAGACTAGAAAACATGTCTTTTGTTGTTATTCATTTTCTTTCTCTCTTGTTACTCGGGTTCAAACCCAGGCCATGTGCATGCCAGGCACGGGCTCCACCATTGAGCCACAATAACAGCTATGTGTAGGTACAGCAACCAAATTATTATACTAGCTGAGAGAACACTGCCATATGCAGGCACCCATCTTCTCAAGGACACCGAGGCTGATGCAGAACTAAATTCAGTGCCTTGAATATATCTAATTCGTCTCTTGCCTTCGATTGCCTATAAAACAGTATTTTGTAAGCATCAAATGGGCAGTATATTTTCTCTATTCTTCTCCTTCCTACAATGAACTTTTATGTTGCCTCATGAGCTTTCAGGAGTTTTAGCTTCATCTGATTTAGTTTTTACCCGGTGACCCGGCTCTAAGTCAGGATTCACATTGAAGCAATTTGGTAACACTAGCCTGGTATTAGCAAGCTGCCTCTGTCCTTTGCCAAAATGTCTGTGGTCCGCTGGTAGATATTAAAAGACTTAAAGAGTAGAACACCGCCTCTGGAAACTTGCTGCCTTCGGAATAAAGAAACTTCCAAGGCTTCTACCTTGGGAATTTAAAAAGTCATATAGTCATTAAGGAATGATTGAAAGACAAACTACAAGAGATCACCCCATCTCGATCTGGTATGTGGACAAAGTTTTTTCTTTTTGAACATGCTGGATAAGACAACCCACACCCACTACAAAGAAACTGCACTGTCATAGGCATAAAATTTTCATCCTTTGATGAAATGTTTTTTAAATTATGTGATAGTCCATCATCAGAACACTCTGGGAAATGTCTGGGTGCGTATGTACCTTATCCTATTAACCCTAAGTGTAAACATAGTTTACCGTCATAGACTTCACTCAAATGTATAACGTTTTAACTATTATATAAGCTTAAACTTCATCAACAGAGTCCAACTGGTTAAAAATTATTGGAGAGTATTAAACATATTAATGTTTGTACACAAGACATCTTCCTTTACTACTGGAAAGGAGGAATCTGGTGTATTCTGTGGTAGAGAGATGATATAGCATAATATATCTTTAGAACAAAACAAAACAAAAAGCCAAATAAATTTAGTAGTGAAGGACATAGAAAGACTGACAAATGATAACCCTTAAGAAGAATGTTCATGGCAGTGGAGTAAAACAGGACATAGGTACATTTGAGAAGTGCCTGAGAATGGACTGTCTTGACAAGAGCACAAGTCTAAATCTTCACTAGCCACTCTAATGCCAAACAGGTTAACGCTTTAGCCCCTTCTTCCTCAGTCTCTATAGTGGTGATTATAGCCCCAAATCCGGTTCCCTGGCTCTCCACCAGTCCTCCCTCTCACCTGCTGCTTTATGTGTTTGTGTACCCTGTGCCCACTATGCATACCCTCGGCATCTTCTCAATCTGACTTTGCCAAGTTCATTTTTCCCACCATCCCTGGAACAATCACCCAAGCCACTGCTTCAACTCTGTATTCTCCTAATGTAGCAGCTGGCCAGGCACCCAGGCTGCCTTGAGTCTTGTGAGAAGACATGCCAGACAGCCATGGAAACTCCTCGGTGAGGTTAAAATTAGAGAGGATGGGGAAGCTCTCTGTGAATGTGAGAATATTGTGGTTGCTTTAGGACACAGAGCTCTTTAGACACATTTAATCAGTGTCAACTTCAATAAGACACATGTGTCCCAAAAGATAACAGTAAGGAGGTCAGGAATGCATCATTTACCTCATCTGGCTGTTGGCTACCCAGGCTGTAGACTGATTTTAAGGTCTGTCTCACCATGACTTGCCAGGTGAGCAGATGTATTCACCCCTGTCCTAGCAGAATAGCTCTGTAGATTTCACGAGAGCGTCGTTCACAGAGGAACAAGCTCCCATCTGCATTGAGCTTGTAAGAAATTGAAAGTTAGGGCTTTAGGAAACCAGTTCTTGCCTGAGGTGGCCCTCCTGTGGAATGCTTTCAAGAGTGACTGCAGAAGCCTACAGGCAGGAGGCACAGAGGATTAGAAACATGAGGTGAAGGTCACGGAATGTACCTACATGCGGGCTTTCAAGAGGCGAAGGCATATAAGAACTCCAGGGTCCTTGACTCGATACACTTATAATTTTCCCTACCATCTTGGTGCAATGAAAACTAGTTACCTGAGTGACCCTGAACTTGAAAAGCTGGGAAAAGCCTCCCCTCACCAAAGGCCTGTTTGGAGAATGTTCTCAGAAAGCTGATTTGCAAAACAGGCAAGAGAACTTTGCCCTGGAAAAACTCCAGATTTCTGAGAAGTAAGGAAAGTTCATAAGGCCAGACCTGAGCCATACAATGTGTGTTTACACAGAACACAGGCAGGTCTTTCGGTGTCTCTCTCTACTCTCCAACATGGCCTTCCTTAAGCCCTGTTCATCAAGCGTAAGAAAACCTTATCTACTCATGAATAAATCTCAGTCTCCCTCGCTCTTGCTTTGTGTCTGGAGATAGGTTCTCATTGTGTATTTCTGTCTGTCCTGGAACTCACTATATAGACAAAGCTGCCATTGGACTCCCCAAAATCCACCTACCTCTGCCTCCTAACTGCTGGGTTCTCAGGCATGTGTCACCACACCCAGCACGAAAAGCATTCATAAGACAGACACAGTTATTGATTTTGTGAAAGCATTACACTAAAAACCCCATATCAAACTGTGACAGAGTTAGTGAATCCTAAGATTCCATACTGAGCAGTTTTAATCCTGAATAAGCAAGGCCTTCTGGGTAATCAGGCATATCAAGGCAATGTGACAACGCTTTGAGGCGCTGTCGTTTTCCATGACGTAAAAGTATGTTTCTAAGACAGAGGACTGAAGAAGTAGAACACATTATGTTGATGTTCTACAACTTAAAGTTAACATTTTGGGCAAGTCAGACTAAAGGATATCATGGATTACATGATCTTATCTCCTAGTAAACTGAACCCACAACCTAACTCCAAGCAGTCTTTATTGCTCAATGAGAACAGCAGGGGAAATGTGTACATCTGGAGCTCTCCACCAACTAGGGACATTTTTAGAGAGGGGCAGGAAGCAGGGGATCAAGGGAGGCAGGGAAGACATTTCACATACAAGAGCCACAATGTCATTTAGTTGCTGAAACTACAATTTTATCTTGTTTTGGGTTCATAAGGCTTTCAAATTGTAAGAAAATGGGGGCTATTACTATTGTTTTCAGAAAACGGTTCACTATGTAACGTAAGTTGGCCTTAGATTTGCTATCTTGTCCAAGTGGCTTTCTACTAGAGATCCATGAAAGTTATTATTTCTCTTAAAACAATTCAAATTTCAAGATAGAATTTAAGAAGATTTGAATTTCTTAGTCAATTTATACTTCATCATCACATCTTTGTTGGAATATACTCATTCCCAAAAGTCCAATGTTGTTAATTGTACTCTAGTACAATCGCAACCAGCATTCAGGGTTAATTAATGACAGTAGAGTCACAAAGCTTCCTCTTTTTCACAGGAGGACAGTTTAGTGTCGCAATAGAGTAACTTCTACATGGAGACTAATCAAATACATATTTAAATCACATTTTTAATAGTTCAGAGACTCTTGTGTTTGTTAAGAGAAGGTTCCATACATTCAGACAAAGAGCTGGCAAATTCAGCCATACCACATAATAATATTCTTTAAAACTAGTCTCTAAGCCACAGCCAAGATCTCTACCAATGCATTCTCCTGACAGAAACTGTAACCTCTCCATGGGTCTTACTTTGTGTCAGACCCCTGAAGCCAGCTCCCATCTCCAAATCACACTGTCAAATTCAATAGCAAAAGATGTGGCCATCAAGATGCACTTCTGACCTAAGACAAAGGACAGGTTTGACTTCCCTGTGGGTATGGGAAGAATAGGACCATTCCAATTTCAAGATCACTGGAATATTTGAAAATACCTTGAGTGGTTCTATAGTTTTTTGCAAACAAGGCTTTAAAGTTCTGTAAAAAATAAGTTTAAGGCAGGGCTAGGTATTAGGGAGAACTTAGGGATTGAAAACCACTTAGTAAATGAATAGCAGAATGAAAATTGCCTCCTTTGATTGTAATAATGTTATATTCTGGAAGAAACAAAAGAACCTGTAGAAAAGGAAAATGACATCAAAATCAACCCACTTTTGTCGGCACAGTTGTAACCAGAAGCCAACAATGGCCCCTCTCTCTGTGGGAAGACTGTGTAAGCTGCATATTCAAAAGGATGAGAAGCCCAGGAGCCCCCCAGATTTCCTACTCTCAGGTTCATGTGCTACCTGAGGACACATACCTCTTCTTCCAGCTTCACCACCTTCGCCTGGGCATTGCTCAATGCCTGGTCTCGGATTTCAATGTGTCGCCTTTGGTCTTCATTGGTAGAGCGAGCAGTAGCAAGCTCTGCTTCTAGCTTCTCCTTCTCCCGCTGGCTTTCTTTATCTGTGAGGACATGGAATATCAATATTGTCTTCCTGAAGCTTGGTCAAAGCCTTAAGTGAGAAAAACTAATATGCCATATATATTAATTACTTGACAGTGTACACTCTTCTAGAACATGGCTAAAAGAATCAAAATTTTACAACATTTAGATTTTACCACTGGATCAACCACTAACTTGTTGAGTAAATAAGAAGTAACAAATAAGGAGATATAAAGTGTCCTAAGAAAGGATTATGCACTACACAAAGATGAACACACATGTATACATACATACACATACAATGCAGAGTAAGTTCATTTCCTTAGTTTTGTTTTTACAAAATGTTTGGCAAAATAGCAACTAAGCTGAACAAAATTTACCCCACTATCTCCTTATTCCAATGTACCAAATAGTCTAAAAATGCTATTTCTTAAAACAGAAGCAACCTCCAAACCTACTCCTTATGCAAGAACCTTTTCTGAGATCAATACCATTAGAAAACATGTCCTCTCTAGGGAAAGCCTGATCCAACACCATGGCCAACCTAACTCACTTCATTTCAGTATCCACCAAGCCCGGAGTTTTTATAAAGGGAATAAGGTAAAACTGGAAGCCATCTTATGTTCTTTCCTACCCTTTCTTCTGCAGGACAGATTGGGTATGGAGGGACTGTGGGAAAGAACGAGGCAGAGTATAAGGGAAAACTAATTTAGAAATATAGGCATCAAATTCATCTATGCAAATGATTAGAGCTTTTACAGTAATAAAATATGTTTGTGTGCTTACAGTGTATTTTGCATATATGGGAACACACATGCATGCATACATGCACACAAACATATTTATGGATGTATACCTATGAATAATGTATAGCCATGTATCGGTGCATTGTGTATCTGTGTGTATATGTACATTTGCATTGATACAGTCTATGTCTTTAGAATGGAAAAGTCACTGAAGAAGTTGGTCTAATTAGTGATTGCATTCAGAAGCAGAGTAACACACATAAAGATGAAAGCACTGAGAAGTCTCTGTCAAGCAGGGTAAATCAAAGATACTAGAAATGAAGAGGAGAAAGACACAGAAATAGAGAAAATGATATCCAAACAGCACTCAATCCCTTATCTCTGTTCACATAAAATTGAACAACCGAAATCTGCAGCAAAGTGTGTACTAGGAGATGATACGGCAAAATGAAGTGGTATTTATCTCAGCCATGCAAGGGTGGTTCCATAAATATCACAGCTCTTGGCCCTAAATCTATGACGAGCCATTTAAACAGGACCTTGATTCTAACTTCTACCCTGTCTTTACCTTCCTGACTTCAACATGAAAAGCAGTTAGGCCAACTACCAACCATATTTTAAATTCTTTATTCTAAAATAGAATAACAGAAAATTGTGACTCCATTGTAACAGATACGTAAAAAGCTGAATTAAAAAGAAAAGATTGAAGAGAGATCTATAGAGAGCTCTCACAGAGTGAAATTCACAGGGCAAGTTTCTGTCCTCAAAATAGGAGGTAGGTGGACAGAGAATCACAATTTACCAAATTAGAATTCCATGGGCAAAGACCATGGAAACCATGGGAGCTGGTTAGGAAACCCTGCATTATAATTGAGGAATCGTTAGCAGTTCAGTATGTACAAATGTGAGGGCTAATTCCTGGGAGAGGCGCTCATACTGGAACACCCACATTTTTGGAAGTTTTTCGCCACCAGGTGTTCATCTAGGTTCTCCCAGGAGACCAGAAAAAAAATATGTTATCAGCAGTAGGAGGGGAAAGAAACCATCCTGAAACTGACGGAGACATTTTGTTTTTCTCAACAAGACATGCCCTGAGGAGAAACTTTAACCAATACCTAACTTGCAGAAATACTTCGGATACTAAGCAGTCTGGAGGAACGATGATAAGGTCCATTTAGACACGTTCCAGGCCTCAGAAAAAGAAGTACGTGACTTTAGGCCCCTCTGATCACACTGCAGTCAACAGGGGTGGGGACCGAGCCACATTCATAAGGTTTACAGCCCAAAAGCACAGCCTCAAAATAAAAACCAAAAACCTAATCTTACTGCTAGAAACCATTTATTTCACTTGCTGCACAGCCCATGCCACATCAGGAAGGAGTCTTATGCCCAGAACAATACAGGGCAAATATTCTTCCAAGACTTGCCTACTGCAGCCCTTCTTAGCCACCATGTAATTCCTGCCACTCAACAGCATAATCAACATAGCAGTACCCTTTTTAAACTAAAGGGCAAAATGCACACACAGTTTTCTAAAAGACACAGCCTGCATGCATCGGGACCAGACCCAGTTAAGTCAAGGATGTTGGAATGGTCAGATCATAACTCTGAAATGCCTTTGATTAATATGCTTAGGTTTTTAATAAGAAAATGTAGACAGCATGCGAGGACAGGAGAGTTATATAACTAGAAAGATGGACATTCTAAGACAGGATAAAAACACTCTACAGATGAAAGCACAGGCAACATTGCTGTTTTTGTTAATCCATATTAGTTAAGGATCCAATTAGATAACATAAGGTATTTAAATGAGAGAAACATGAAAAACACCAAGAAAGCCTACTAAAGAAAATGATAATCATCATCACCATGATTGATGATGGAAAAGAATCACAGTTTCAAAATATGTCTTTTATTAAGATGTGAATGATTCTTTTATATTAGTTTTTACAATGTGGAGACTAAATCTCACCTGTAAGAATAGCAATTTTGTTTCTGAATTTGATACTAAAGTATAGCTACAAGGGACCTTGACATATCCCTCTATGGCTCCTCATGTTTTTCCAGGTACTTCTCCTGTTATCTAGGACAAACCTCATCCCAGAAACTCAAACAAATAGATTTGGACCTTATCTTCATGATGCCAGCGTGGCCTCATTTCCCACTGTGACATTACATACATCGATCTGACTAAGTTGTACCTTGAAAAGCAATGAGCATTTACTGAACGCTCACTACATATCAGGCATTGTGCTAGCTTAATCCTCAGAACAAGGATATGAGGCATTATTCTTCTCTTCTCTGTTTTGCATATGAGGAAACAGGACTTGGAGAGCAAGCATGACTGCATTGTAAGAGCTCCCACATCTGGAAAATTAGGAGTGGATTCCATACTTAAGCTCAACCTATTCGAAGTCTATTCTACTGTACCCAACTGCCTTCTGGGTTAAATTGCTTCCGTCTCTCTGGTTGCTGGAGTATACTCCCAAGGAAGGCTTTTCAGAAGAGCTTTCTTCCTTCCTGCTACAGTTCCTACCTTGCAGGGAGGTTTGGATGCCCAAAGGCAAGAGAAATAAAGGGGTCAAAAGGCATGCTCTCTTTCCCACCTAGTTTTAGAAGTGCTGAGAGTGTTTCATTCTGCTGTTGATGTAATTTGGTTTAGCAAATAACTATATTTTATAAACCCACAGCAGAGCTCCGAGAGCACCTGAAATAGCATTTACTCACAGACAGGAGTGTAAGCTAGCAGATCCAGGGCACGAATCCATATGTTTTGTTTCACTCTGGGAGACTGCCACCATCTTCCTGCCACTGAACTAGCTTCCAGGGTAAGCGTGACACCACAAAAGCAACTTCACAATTTCCCCTAGGTTCTGATGACACCAGAAAAACAACATTCCTCACTCTTAGACTACCGACAAAGGACTGGGAGGCTTAGGGCAAAGAGGAAGAACAAAACTGTTCAGAAGCCAGAGCGCAACAGAGCAACCCAGGCGGGGATGGGAATATTGTAAGTGAAGATCAAACAGACTTGTAAAAGCTAACTGGAAACTGCACAGAATGACATGAAAGGGTCACTGGGAGGCCCAGCAAAAAGAAAAGAGTCTGACAAGTCCCCAACAAGCAGGATAGCATTGGGAGCTTCACTGAGGGAGGCTGGGGTAGGGCAAAGCCAAACTTAGGCATCTGCAGAAACAAGGCCAGTTCATCTGTTCTCAACCCAATTCATTCTCCCAGTGGACTCAATCTACTATGAAGTTTTTATTGTTGCTTTTATTATAGCAATTGGAAAGAATTAGGCATTGTCTAGCTGGGTGGAGTCCATTAGGGGCCGATAAAGAAGAGGATTAATTCATTGTTACAGTCCTAGGAGTATTTCCAGACAAAGGAAACCCTATTATGAGGAAAGCGCAGCTCTGCCCAGCCCTGTACCCTCCAACTCTGCAAGCAGAACCATGAATTCAGGTCATAGCAGAGGCCTGTCCTTCTCTGGCTGTCTTCACAATTTCCAAGTGGGTAATGATATGATACAACAGTAAGCATTTAATAGGGGAACCCCTGATGCAGGTTGGGGATTCCAAACATTAATCATTGTCGTGCATGCCCATCCCATATACCAGAGCCAGTATATGGAAGCACCTACAACGATCCCTTCAGCATTAATAAGGACGAGATTCCCTAAGGTCTTGTCTTCAGTTAGCCATGACAATGGTGGGGGCCCAAGTGGGCTTTTTCTGACTTAGTCCAGAGAGTAGTGTGACTGGAGGTTGTGGCAGCAGCCTTCCTGGTGCTTCATGCAGCAACAGAAGAAAGACATTCATTCTCTCCTGGTTGTTTTGAGAAGGCTAAAAAGTCAGGCACCATTTTCATAAACTCTTCTTCCATATACACCAGCAACATTTCCAGAGCAGTTACGGCCCATCCACATATTCATACCTGCCTGTAGAGTTTCCAGACTTACTTTTGGCAAAGAGCTGAGAGATGGTTTTCCTGGTGTCCTCTGAGCCCTCGTACTCCTTTTCTGCCAGCTGCTTGTTGGCAGTCTCTAGACGGTCTGCAAGATGCGCAGAAAATCAGCAGGGCCTTGCACACACACACACACACACACACACACACACACACTTCCAAGCACTTGCCATTTGTCTTCTAAATACTAGCCTTTGACAAAAGGCAGCATCTTTTTTGACAATAAGGATGGGTGACACAGACCCACCTGAGTTTGCAAATGTGAATCTCAAAACAGGACAAGACCTACTAAAGCAAGAGCCAGTGTAGGGAATGCATGCTTTCATGGGTATTATGGAGCACAAGGCCAGCATAGACAATGGAGTAAGTTCTAATCCAGCCTGGACTATGTAGACCTTATCTCAAAAAGCAAACAAACAAAAAAATAACTACCAAGTTAATCCCACTAGTCCCTTACCTCTCAGATCTCTGTTGAAGTCATGCATCCTTCGAATCTCACCCTCCAGCTTGTTCCTCATGGCTTTCTCCAGAGACTCTCTCTTAGAAGACGACTTCACCAAATTCTCATATGCCTCGGAGACCCGCTGGATTTCTGTCTCCACCTTAACATTAAAAAGAAAGATGGTGTTGCTGCTAAACGTTTAATGGAAAAGACAGTTTAGAACCGTACATACAGCACTTAGGTGGCCTCTTTTTTTCCGAGTTTACATATGGCCAGGAAGCAAGTGTAACATATTTAAGAACCAGGTTTTTGAAAAAGACTGTGAGCTCAGTAAATGATTCGACTGCTTCATAGGATTTCCATAGGACAAAGGTGTGTGTGTGTGTGTGTGTGTGTGTGTGTGTATTTCTGTTGGGGTGGAGTGGGGGCTGGGCATAGTGATTTCTGCCTCATGGTAGGCAATAAGATAAAATAGACTTCATAAGGTTTTTATTTCTGATCTTGAAAATATTAATAATACTGTTTATTGTATAGCAATAACTTTCTTTTGACACCCTCAAAGGACTTCTGTGCTATTCTTTCAGTTTGCCCTGACATCTGCCCAGGCGAGGCAGAGAGTAGTTAAATCACCTTTCCCAAGAACAAATCAGCAGCAGACATAAGCCCTAAAACCCCAAATAGTCAGCCTTACGCAGTACGACTCAATTCCCTTTCACAACTAGCCAACCAAGATTCAGACGGTCAAGAAGGCACGATTGCGCTGTAAAGTGCGCAAACCTGAATGAGAACGTCCACATTAGCCTCTCCTCCAATACAATCTAGCCAGAGAACGTAGGGCCAGACACAGCCAGAAGGGAACACGGAGCAATGCAAAACAGAAAAGAAGTTATCCCTGGTTGGGGGAGGGGAGGAAAATAATTTCAGGGAGAGATGGCATTTGGAGTCAGATCCTGAAAGTGGGATTGGATTTCAATGGGCAGAGGTGAGGGGAAGGGTATTCTATTCTGAGTAAGCAAATGCATTCCCAGAGTGGCCAGGAGTCTCATTTGACTGGACACTGTGTGGTAGCCACAGGGAAGCTAGAGGGATATGGCTGTGAAGATAAGTGCAGTCAGGTCATAAAATGGTTTTAAATGCCAGGCATTTGGACTTTATCCCGCAGTCACCAGAGTCAGTTGGAAACTAGTACCGATTTTTAACTCGAATTCATAATTTGTGTGGTTTTATGACACTTCTCTGCAAGTCTTATAAAATGAGAAGAAAAGGCCAACGTTCTTGTCCAGAATTAGCCAGAATCAGGAAGAAAAGAAGAAATTAGACTCCAGAGTTTCTCTGCGACCAGTTCAGCTCCCGAGCATGTGTAACAACCGCAGAGATTATTTGCATATAATTTGTATAAGACAAATAAACCCCATGGCCTATTAAGCAATTTTCAAATTAAGGCTGACTCCTGTAACCACTCTGCATTTCTACTCAGCTTTCCACTCTTCTTAAACAAAGCTCATGGTGCTTTGGGGTGGGGGGATAAACAGGCGCCCCAATTGAGGATGGGGGAGGAGCAGTCAGTTCCAATTGCAGCTGCCCCCATCTTCAGAATCCTGCAGGAGACAGAACTGCCTGCAAATAAATGAGGCTCACTGAAAAGAGCAGACTTGAAAGTGTTTTTCTCCTTGCAGATGGCACCAAGATAGCAGCACAGAAGGTGAAAACTGGCGAATGGCATTTAGAGACAAGATCTGCAGGGCCTGTGCCTGGTGAAGGCTTTTGCAGGAAATTCAAGTGCTGCAGAGGAGAAAATAAACATTTCCATTTGAAAGAGCAGGCTTGGTGTTGGTCTGCGAGAGGCAGCCAAGAGAAAGTGACTGAGGCTTCCTACTTGCCGCCCAGCGCCCAGAGAAGGCCGGCACCTAGAAGACAGCCCCTTTCTCCAAGTGCACACACAGCCTGCCTGTGAAGGAGCTGTTGCTAATCCTTCTCCTTCCCCTTGTGGAGATACTGTCCTCTTGCAAAGAGCAGTGCAACAAGGCCTTCACAGAAAGGCCAACGGCCGATCCAATGACTTGGTGTGAGTGGTAGAAGGGGTGGAAGACAGGGAGAGTGGGGGTGGGTTTCAGGACTTACTTGTTCTACTTTCTGTCCCCAGGAGCTTCCAGTGCTCACTCGCCTACTCTCCTTCTTTCCTTCCTTCCTTCCTTCCTTCCTTCCTTCCTTCCTTCCTTTTTTTCTTTCTTTCTTCCCCCTCTTTTTCTTTTCCCTCCTTCCTTCCTTTGTTTCTTCCTTTCTTTCTAGCACTACTATCTGGTGTATACCATATTTTTCCTTGCATTTTCTTCTCCCCTTTCTGTTCCTTTTTCTCTACCTCGGCATTGGCTAGAACTGGCTTCTCCAGACACGCAAGCTATGATGATTGTGACTTTCTGACATACGTCTGCACAAGGATCAAACAATGAAGAAAATTCCTATTTTGCGCTCTGCCCTACTCATCCGGCCCAGCTGCTAGTGTCACCAGGGATCCCTGACAAAGATGATCTGAGCTCAGGAACCAGTAATTATGTCAAAGATAAGGCCAGGTCACCCAAATTAAAAGTTAGAGGAGGTCGAACCAGCTAAACAGGGTTTCTAGTCAACGGACAAAATTCATGTACAGCATTAGCACAATGTGAGAGAGGGGAATTGTCAAACTGAGAAGAAAGAAACTATCAAATCAAGACAAAGTAATAGCTCTCAATCCACCCTGATAGCCCTCAACTGGATCTGAGGAAACTGAGAAAGGGGCATCTTTTCTACTACATAAAAACCACTTCACTATGGAAAAAAATAAGGCCACTTCTCCTTTAGGTAAAAGATCTGCTGTTAGCAAATTCTCAGGCCCTGAAATGTCCATTCTTGTTGTCTCCTAGAGATAGAGCTGCTAAATAATACAAGGCTACCATCCTTCACTCCCCACCTTCGGCCACAACTTCCTGAACAGTCGGCAAGGAGATCGGGCCACATGAACTCCTCATGGTCAAAAGCTACAGAGGAGCCGCCAAAGGCCGAACTCTATTCAATCAGCCACCCAGGCAAGAACTGAGGTTCGGGCCTGAAGGCCCTCAACCGCTGAATTCCAAGCCGTGGCAGACAGTGGGGGTGAGGGAACAGGGACGAATGGGAACTGGGGAACCACACTCCTTTTTCTATTTCCTCTGCCTATGGCTGTCACCTGTCACCCAGCTGTGGCGCTAAGTGCCTTTTGTGTGTCCCCCTCAACACATACACACACACACACACACACACACACACACACACACACACCAGGGAAATAGAGCAGATGCCGAAGTGGATCTGTGCAGAAAGACCAAAGCAAAAGTGGGGAGGAGGGCTAGTGTCAAGAATTTAGAAGAGAACTCCCACAAGGAAGAGCACTGTCAGTCTTTTCCTGAGCCATACAAAAATCTCAGCTGGTGGGATTTTTCTAGAACCTATGAACTATGGCTTTATATTTTTGACTCAAAATCATATGGGGAAAATATAATCAAGACAAAAAGCCTTTAAATGCTGGCAGGTTTTCCATGGGCACAGACCTTACTAATATTCTTTACGAAAAAGTATATCTGATGACTTTTTGAACAAAATAATGAACTAAGTATTTCTTTAGGATTATAGAGTCTGGGACATCTATAGTATTTTTATTTTAGTATAAAAACAAAATGTTACCTCTCTTAAAGAAAAGGGGGAAACAAAAGATGGTAGCGAGTGTGAATTTAATGAAAGTATGATAAGCATTGTGAAAATTTCATCATGAAGTCCATTGCTTTGTTCTTAATTTATGATAATAAAAAAAGAAAAAAGTTAGTTATCATAGACAAAGCTTTTTCCTAAAGTTTGACCAACATCAGAGGAAGAATTTTAAAGATCCACCCACGCAAGATGGTAAGCACACCCAGACGAAACATTTATATGGTAGGCTCACACAGACGGAACCTTTAGATGGGTATTTAACAGGTCCCACAAGTACGATTCAAAGAAGCCGCTACTGACCCTCATGGGGAGCCATACCTTCTGCAGTCTGGCCACCTTCTCATAGCATCCATCCAACTCCTGCCGCAAGTTCCGATTCTCGTCAGAGAGGATCTCAACCATCTGCTGGGCTCTCGAGACGATGGCGAAAGGGTCAGCTGGCATGGGCTGATAAGAAGCAGACGGCTGAGCCCGAGGCATAGCTGAGTAGGCTTCCCCCGGCTGCTGCGGTGCTGGAGGAGGCAAGGCGGACTGGGAGAGACGGTAGTGATCCCCCTGATGACTCTGATTCGGAAGAAAGTGTTGCTGCTGCCTTGGCAGGTGTGTAGAGTGGTCGCCTTGGTTTGCGGCCAAAGCGTGTTGGGCAGAAGACAGTCTCGTAGATGGTGGAGACTGCAGCAACTGATTCCCGGACGTCAGGGAAGATGTTGGGCTGTGAGGCTGAGAATTCCTTGCCGACAAAGACAGCGAGATGTCCTGCGTTGTCCTGAAAAACACAGAAGGCCAGCTCTGATAAAGTTCACTCCCAAGGCACAAGTAAATGACACAAAGGGATATCCCCAAAATACAGGTAAAATGCGAAGCAAGCAGAATTAGATCCCCGCCAGAGAACTCGAGAGTCCCATTCTTACCGAGACATTGTGTGGCTCTGTCCAACAGCTACTGCTCACTAGCTATGATCCCTTTGGAGATGAAACCAGATAACCTCTGAGGTAAGTATGAAAATCTTAAGATGGCTATCTCCACATTCATTCCTCAGTCATTTAAAATTCCTCTCGTACAAAGTAATGCTCATGACCTGACTGCAAACTGAAGCTGTCTGGAAAAAACTTTATGTATGCAAAGACTTCAATTTAGAAAATATGTTTACTTGGTTACTTAAAACAGTTGCTCGGCTGCCTTTGGTCGTCCTATCTATGACTACCTTTGAGAATTCATACACTCAAGAATTTCTCAAAGATACGAAGACATTTATTAAATTTAAAACACCAAATAATTGTTCCTCTTTCCAGTTATCGATTTAATAATACACATTAAGGAGCAATATGGAGGCTTGGAGAAGATACAGGCAACACTATTGTACTATTTATAGCACACTGAATCACAAAATTTAGGAATTAGAACGACTTTAAAAGAAGTATCTTCTTGGATAGGGTGAAACTAAAACCCAGAGAAGGAAAGAGATGTGCTGAGGGATTGGATATGGTACAGGGCTGAAACACAAGCCCGGAGTACATAACATAAGGCCCCGAGTCCCATCCCGAATGAAACAAACCGAAAGAGAAAGAAAGCCAAAGACAGAGATCTGGGTTAGAGTGAACTATGGTGTCAGTGGTAGCATTCCACTCCCACCTCTGGCTTCCTGAATTTCTAAGCAGTGCTGTACAAATCCCCAACCTATTGCTCACAGAATGTCTCAGAAAGAACACTTTGGTACACTATTTAATATGGCTTCCTGATTTTTGGTAACTAATTACGAGACACGAAATATTAACACTTAAGTTCAAATAATTTGTGCACAACTATTAACTAAAACAATCAAAGCATACGGATGTGTTATTTCCCACTATCAACACCAACAGGAAGCGTTTATGTCTGTGTATTCTGAAGGCAAAAACATTATTTTTCATCTCCTGGCCCAGGCTGAACTTTATATGTTCCTGAATTTCTCAATTCAGGGAAGACAGAGGACTAAGAACATGATTTAGAGACCAAAAAGGGGACTTCAGAGACTTTTGGTACGACTTACTAGCTCTTTGAAACCTTGTTCAAGTTCCTTAGTATAGAAGGAGAGATAACTTGGTGAGAAGAGTACTGGCTGCCCGGTCAGAGGACCCAGCTTTGATTCTCAGAACCCACATTACAGCCATGTTCTAGGAGATCCGATGCTGTCTTCTGACAGGTACCCCGCATGCATGGAGAGCACAGACATACATGCAAGCAAATCACCCATACACATAAAATAAGTCCTTCTTCAATTTATCTTGCTGGGCATGAGGGCACACACCTTCAGTCTCAGCACTTATGAAGAGGCAAATAGACCTCTGTGCATTCAAGAGAAGCCTGGTCCACATACTGAGTTCCAAGACAGCCAGGCTTCAAATGAATTGCAAAAAAGCACGTTTTGACTCAGTATAGTTTTTTATCTACTGGTGAGATATGTTGACCTTGTTACTGTCTTCCTGTTCATCTTTGTGCTAATTTCCATAAAACTCTTGATAGAAGTTGAACAAGTGAGCAGAAGCCATTAACTTTTCACTAGCAATCCAGACACTTCAGCACATTTCTCTCTCACACACTCCAGTAACCAGAATCCCCAACCACTCCTCCCTATATATGCTGGTTACAACCCAATCATCCCAAATATTTGCTCATGGACACATCTAGTGACCTCAATACTCACAACAGTACTAAAACCTCTTTATACCTAGGGTCTGCCCCGCAGTCTTGTACATGCCTCTAACATACACACAATTCTTCCAATTTTATACACTTGTCGCTGAAAATAATTGGTAAATATGGAAGAAATCACGTAAACTACTTAGGCATAAAAGAAACGACACACCAGTCAAGCCTACAGCTGGAAAGCTGACGCCATATATAACCTTTCTTCCCGAGAGCCCGGGGTGGTTTGTGAACTTACGTGGTGAAAGGTTTCCACTTCCCAGCCTGTACATCTTCACTTTCTATGCAGGTAAAAACGACCGTGTGCTTCCTTCCCAAGAGCTGTTTTAATATGTCTAATGCAGAGCTGGAATGTCCTGGGATTCGGGAGGAGGGGGCCTTTGAATCTCTTGGGCGACAGAAGGTCTTAAATCTCATGTTCTCCAACCCTACTTTCAAAATGTAAGGAAAAAAAAAACCCAACACTATCTTTTGCCCTCCTTCTCAGGATCTGAAAGTCCACCGCCTGGGAGGTATGTCTCTCTCAAAGCCTGAACACATAGTTTCAAACTGGGCTTCCTCTCCACAGCTCCCCTGGGAGCTTATCAAGCATCAGGGGCCTTTTTCTCAAACAGACTTAGGCATCTGCCTCCCTCCTCCCTGAAGGGTGAATGGCCTGTCAAGGCCCTGGACAGTGCACAGCTTCTCAGGGGTCTAGCAAAAGATACTGCAAGGTTTCCGGAAGGTCTCTGGGCTCAGATAAGCCCAGGATGAAGATAAGGCAAAACAAAGCAGCTGCCCCTTGACTCCCCAGGCTACAAAAGGAAGCAGAGTGCTGGAAAAACCAAGGCAGTCCTTCACTGGCAGATTTGCAAACCAGTAAAGGCTTGGGTAGTTGAAAAAGCAGGGAAACGCTCCAGGCAAAAGAACTCCAGCTGGTCTTCAACATCTGCCCACCATCAAAAGGCAGGGCAACATTAACACTGGAATAAGGGTCTGTTGGAGAACAGGGGACTCAGGGAAGAAGACACAGGTTGGCAGAACTCTGGCCTATGTCACAGGAAACAAAAACACACTGAAGACTAAATAATAAAAGAAAGAGTAATGATAGCAATAAAGTGGCCAAGGCGAAGGCAGTGCACTCTTCCAGGTCCTTCCACCCCACAGCAGCTGGAAACACTCCCCACTGACAGAACTAACTGGGAACAAGGAGCCACCAAGGAGACAATAGAATCACATGATCTCAGGGACAACCTGATCTGCCTCTCTGCTCCTGCTCTCCAACACCCTACTCCTTAAAACTTGTGGGCTATTAGTGATCTGCAGAAGAGGGGACCTGGCTGTCTATGCAAGAGACCACTCACCAAACTTAAGCTGCTCCCCAAAGCTGCATTGAGAGAGTGGATATATTCTCAAAAAGAGCTTGTAAAGACAAAAAGGGAAAGTAGCTCACACACACACACACACACACACACACACACACACACACACACACGCACATGCGCAGGCAAACACAGACCTTCCCACCCTGCTTCCTCTATAGGGTCCTCATCCTCTTCCCTCACTCACACATGCACCCATATAAGCATGGGCACCTCTCTCTCTCTCTCTCTCTCTCTCTCTCTCTCTCTCTCTCTCTCTCTCCCTCTCTCTCACCAGAGCAGGTGCCAGCAGCAGCGTATAGCTGGCTTCTCACCACTGAAAGGGTGCCTCTCCCAGGCTCTGGGACAGTGAATGTGAATCGTGGAATCGTGGAGTGGCTTGTGAATAATTGCGGACCGTCCCAATTGCACAAGTAGCTCTGTCTGAGCTACAGACTTAGGTCACCCTGAGATTCTGTTTAACAAGCATTTCAAGGAACCGCAAATCTGGGCACGATTTCAACACCTGAAAGGGGGTGGCTGCTATATAAACAGAAATAATTTTAATTTTTTAAAAACACTTGATCGGTGTATAAACCCAGGATGCAAAAAAAAAGGAAGAAGAAGAAGAAGAAGAAGAAGAAGAAGAAGAAGAAGAAGAAGA